TTTGTGCTCGAGGACTCTGGCTCTTCAGCATCTGTCGGCATCTCTGGGAGGGAGAGGAGCAGAGTGGGGCAGTGGAAGGACACCCCAGCACACTGTGGGTCCCATCACAGCCAGGCAGCCCTTACCTGGTTCCCAGGGTCTGGAGGGGGTCAGCCCATCCCCCCGCTGCCGCCGGTGAATCCAGGTGCAGAGCACCACGGTGAAAACGTAGAAGACATACAGCCCCAGGTAACCTGGGATGGGAGAGCAATGGGGGGTTATGGCACCCCCAGGCTGCTCCTGTCACCCCCAGCCCCCCATGGCACTCACCCAGAGCCTCTCCCAGTCTGATCCTGCCAAAGTAGAGGACCATGAAGGTTACAAAGACAGCCACCATGTAGAAGATGACATCTCTGAGGAAGGGCCTGGAGGCAGCTGTGAAGGGCTTGACCAGGGCGATGCCCCCAGCCACCACTGTGGTCACGAACACGCCGGCACCTGCCAGTGGTCCAACAGGACCCTCTCAGCGGGTTGGAACATCCCAAGTCTCTGCAATGTTCCCCCCAAACACCCCATCCCAAGCCAGCAGTTCCCAGGGAGGAGCTGGCAGTGAGGGTCTCCTTACCAAAGATGGCCCCAATGGCCAGCCCTGCTGTCCGGGGGTCGGAGAAGGCCACCACAGCACTGAAGACATCTGGTGCCCCATTGCCAAAGGCCAGGAAGGTGACACCATGGAGAAGAGATGTCAAGGAAAAGATCTGGTGGCCATCTCCCTGTGGGGACACTGGTGCCTGTGGACTCCTGCCCAGTGCCAGCACATGATCACTAGTACCACTACAACCTCCAGCTCACACTCCAAATTGGTTTCCCCTGGCATGGTGCCGAGGGCACACAAAGAGACCATGTCACAGACACCTCCCCTGCCCTGTCCCCACATCCCTCCTCCCTGGCTGAGGTTCCCCTCGACCCACCAAGGATACTGCCACGTTGTGGGACAGCTTCAGGTTGGTGGAGATTGCTGACAAGTTTGGGCAGAAGCTGGAAGGGCAGAGAAGGAGGCAGAGAAGGGTGACACGGCTGCTCAGGGACCATGGGGCTCCCCAGTCATCCTGGGGACCATCCCCTCCTCTGCGGGGCCACTCACAACTTCTCCGCTGTTACGCTGAGGATGATGAACAGGTACAGGAGCCAGAGAGCCTGAGGGGTCAGGGGTGGCACAGAGAGGGGTCAGTGGGGTCCTCACTCTGTGCCCCTGCAGCAGAGCAACCCCCAGCATTGCCCCACTCCCATCCTTACGTAGAGGGTGACGGCGAGGGGCAGCAGCTGGGGGGGGAAGACACAGAAGACCCCGTTGAGGTAGTCGAGGAATCCCCCGTCCAACCGGCAGTCAGGGTTGCTCCAGATGAAGTGGCACCACTCAGAGCTGTTGTGTTCCCGAACCTCCCAGCACTGTGGGGCAGAGCAGGGGGTGCTTGGCCCGGCACCCCAAGCACCCACTGCTCTCCACGAGGGCTGCCATCGGGTATCCCG